CTCATTGTTATAGAAGTCTAGGATCAAAGGCTAAGAGCCCAACATTACTAGTTGAGACTATGTGGGAAGCAGGCTGATAAATACCATGTGACCTATAAAAAAGAACTTTTTTTTTTTACTTATGCTAAATTCTGGTTACCTTCCTGACATTAAGGAAAGGTACTAGATGCCCACTTTAAATCCATGAATAATCCAAAAGAGCAATTAGTCATAATTTTCAACGACTTCAGAACACCTCTTGTTAAAAATGATGATAAGGGGGGCTGGGGATGTGGCTCAAGCGGTAGCGCACTAGCCTGGCATGTGCGGGGCGCTGGGTTCGAACCTCAGCACCACATAAAAAAACAAAAAGATGTTGTGTCCACTGAAAACTAAAAAATAAATATTTAAAAAAAAATTCTCTCTCTCAAAAAAAATGATGACAAGGGGTTAGGGATATAGCTCACTGGCACAGTGCTTGCCTAGCATGTGTAAGACTCAATTCCTAGGTTCAATTCCTAGCATCTAAAAAAATAAAAGAAATGATGTCAAGAATCAAAGATAGTTTTTAAGTTTTTCCTCCCTCTTTGCCTTGCCAATCTTCCATTAAGAAAGTCTAAAGGCCAGGTGCAGTGGTGCACATGTGTAATACCAGTGGTCTGGAGGCTGAGGCAGGAGGATCATGAGTTCAAAGCCTGCCTCAGCAAAAGCGATACCAAGAAATTCAGTGAGACCCTGTCTCTAAATAAAATACAAAATAGGAGTGGGGATGTGGCTCAATGGTTGAGCATCCCTGAGTTCAATCCCCAGTACAAACAAACAAACAACCATCTAAAGGCAATCAGGCAGAAAAAAGAATGGGATCAGTTAATTTAAAAATTGGGTGAAGTTTTTCTAACAGAAAGCCACACTAGTAAGGTGGAATGACAAAACAATTAAGAAGAAATTTTTTTTTTTTTAACGTGCACCAAAATACAATTGTTGGATTATGTCATGGCATGGAGCCAGCTCAGAAGCCTAGTTCACATCTCCTTTCCACTACTCACAGCCTTCTCGGGCCAAGTAGAGGTTCCGAGTTCCAGTTGGCTTCTTCACCTTCTTTGTCTGAAGCTTTGCAGCCTCATCACGGGTCACAGCCAAGTCAACCTTGAGCTGCCGGCCATCCAGCTTAAGGCCACCACCCTGTAACAAATTGTAACCCTCTTCAAATACACAACAAGCAGAAACTGAGCACCTGACAAGGAACACCAAGGAAAGGGAATCAGAAAACCCCAATTATATTGTGGAAGTCAAGTCCCAGGATATTTCATCCAAGCTGTCCACAAGTGGATCCCTGACCCTCATAATATTTAGTATAGCTAAGCAAAAGGTCATGTGTGTACTGAGGGCAGTCAACAGTAATGGATTTACTTTAGGGGAGATGATTAATTCCAAAGTAGGCCAAAATAGAGTAAAATGAACTACAATCAGGTTAATTTTTAGTATTCTAAAGAAAGTTAGTAAAATGGTAGTAACTAGAAAATATAAGGGATAATGGCAATACAGGATAACTTTATCTCAAAACAATATATACTTGGTTACATAACACACAGAAAAATTCTCAATCATCCACACACTTTCTCAAATATGTATTCCATTTCACAGATTGTCTTAATACCTTCATGACACATCATGTCATCAGCCTAGGATAGAGGCCACATAGACAGCAATTGATAAACATTAGAGAAATTGTTATACCTGTTTCCTTGCCCAAGAAATAGGGATAATATTCCTATTTACCTCATGGGGCTGACACAATGATTAAATAAGGTAATGCATGTAAAGTTCAGTGCCTAACACGCACCAAGTGCTAGTTTATCAGCAGCAGCATCATTAACAAAAATAATGAAACTTTGTGTAAACACCAGATCTTGCCCCTAGGAGTCACTCTCTCCTACATTATGGGGTAAAAGAAAAGCTTTCCTTACCTCAGTCTCTAGAGAAGCAGCTGCAAGGCATTTCTGAGCTGCTTCTTGAGTCATGAACTGGGCAAATGCACAACCTGCACAAAGACACAAAATTAAATGAAATCACAAACTCCCATAGCCCACCAGTAAACCAAAGACAATAATGCAAATGGCCACAGCTTGGCACAAAAAGAGGAAGAAGTAGCATCCATTTATTAAGTACCAAGAGGCAGTGAAGGTCAAAATCGAATGACAGCACATCTACTCCTCTCAATAAAATTTTATTACTCCCTTCATATTCTTTAACGTATCTTAGAACTTTAGTCTCAACACTTTTCTCCTTAATAATATCCACATAAAATGATAGAGAAATTTCAGGTAAATATTTAACTCGGCTGTACTTACTGAGAGCCTATCAGAGGACTAAAAGATGAAGCAAGAACCACTTAGCCCCGAAATTAATTACATCTCACTGTCTCAGTCACTTGAGAGGCATCAGATCTACCTCCTGGGGTAAAAAAGGCCTCCATCACATGAATATTCCAAGAAACCAGAATCCAGAAGCTCAATTCTTGGTTTATGCTCGAGAATCACCATAAAGTACTTTCATTGGATTGACAAAGGGCCATCAGCCCAAATTTCTACTATTGACACAAAGCAGCTTTTTAAAGCAAAGAAAAAAAAAAAAAGAAGAGATATAGTCGTTATATTTTGTTAGCACTTTTTAAACTTTAAATATTCTCCATATATGAAAACACTCCCATATTTCCTAGAACTACTGGGGCATTATCTTCTGCCTGTGACAGGAATAAATGGTAGCAAACTAACTGAAAGGACACAAATGGCAAGCCAACCCAAGGGTCACCATTCAGTGAGGCTGTCTCTGCCTGCTCCAGACAAGGCTGATTGCTCCTACTTCTGTGTCCCCACCAGCTCCTGTCCTCCACTCATCTCTCTCTTACAGCATTGGTCAGGTAGTGTCTTCCCAAACACAGTGAACATCTCAGGACTAAGAACCACCACCATAGTGTACAGTATGAATAAATACCCAACAAAACAACAAACACAGTTGGATCTCTGCATCACGAGTTCCACATCAGTGGAGTCAACTGATCAAGAAACGAAAATATTTGGGGGGAAAAAATGTCTATACTGAACACAGACTTTTTTGCTTGCTGTTCCCTAAATAATAAAGTTTAACAACTATTCACATTATATTAGGTATTACAACTAAACTATAGATAATTTACAAAATACAGAGGATGCAAATACTATAATATACAGATTGTATGCAAAGACTACATTATTTTTTTTTTTAGAGTGGGAGAGAGAGAAAGAGAGAGAATTTTTTAATATTTATTTTTTAGTTTTCGGTGGACACAACATCTTTATTTTTATGTGGTGCTGAGGATCGAACCCAGTGCCCCGCGCGCATGCCAGGCGAGCGCGCTACCACTTGAGCCACATCCCCAGCCCCAACGTCATGTTTTTAATAAGAAACTTAAGTAGCTACAGATTCTGGTATACGCCATGGTCCTAGAACTAATCCCCCATGGGTACTATAGAACAAGTATAATGAAAGAAATACAGAGGGAAAGATTTCTAACAGGCATATTGACCTAACCAACCAATTTAAAGAAAATGAGTATTTTCTCTCTCTCACTTAACCACTGGCCACATCATCAGCCACCCCCATGCTTTTTTAAAATTTTGAGACAGAGTCTCATTAAGTTGCTCAGGGCCTTGCTAAGTTGCTGAAGCTGGCTTTGAATGTGCAATCCTCAGCTTCCCAAGCCACTGGGATTACAAGTGTGTGTCACTACACCTGACAGTACTTCTTCTAAAAAATTTTTTTGTAGTTATAGATAGACAGAATGCCTTTACTTTATGTTTATTTTTATGTGGTGCTAAGGATCGAAGCCAGTACCTCACACATGGTAGGCAAGCACTATGCCACTGAGCTATAGACCTAGCCCAGTACTTCTCCCTTAATAAGGATTTTATCATTAAAATTTCCAGGGTCAGTACTGGGTTCAGTCTTAACATTTCAGATAATACTTAGCTCTTCTAGGCAATGAAATGGCATGCTGAGGGGGATACACTGCAGGAGGAGCACAAGTTTGCCTGAGTAGGCAAAATAGATGTCAGAAAAATTTAATATGAGTTAGGAAAAGATAATACATTAAGAAAAAAA